TTTCACAGTCACACAGTACAAAGAATTTCAAGCTAAATCTGTTTCGTTTGGACTGAATATATTGTTTGAATGAAACACGTCCTTTGAAAAGTACAAGGGATTCGTCAATCCCCAGCTTCTGTGTTGGTTCGTAAAAATCTCTGAATTTTCCAATCACTTCATTCATATAGTGCCTCACTCGCCAAAGTCTATCATCCTCTCTCCGATCCTCATCACTTGCAAAATGCACACACATGAGGAGTATCTGAAATCTCTCTCGAGACATATATTTCCCGAAGAAAGGTGTTGGAATAGTCATATCTTTGCTCCAGTAATCTGTGAGAGCGTGTTTGACACAGTGTTTCATCAACATACATATGGCTAGAAACACATACATTTCACCTATATTGGTGTTTTTCCAACGCTGCAATCATGAAAATTCCGTTCTCTCTCTTCTAATGAGATAAGCCGCATGAAGGTTCGTTTGGTGTACAATATATTCCATGAGCGGCTCATCATAGAATGCTGTAAAATAATCACATTCACTCATATCTCTCCATTATCCGGGAAAAGCTCTGTAATCCTAACATCTTTATTGTCAAATGCAGTAATTTGATGAATAAAACCAGCACCATCACTCCATACTAGTACACCTGGTGTCCTGCGAGACACAGGGGGTGCAACAGGGGCACTACGGCGAGGAAGTGATGCACCCCCGTGGACCAGGAGCTGAAGCCTGCCTACGCACAGTATGGCCACTACGTGCTGTTACGAAATACCGTATCGTGTTATTTTGTCGCATAAAGGCACGGTTATTTAATAGTATTACGTTCATTATTACAGGAAGAACAAGGTTAATGACCATGGAGGTCGTTAACGGTCAGCACGGTATGGCTTGTCCGGTGGCGGGAATTTCTGTTAGCCAATCAGAAGCACAGGTCGAGGTAATGAGTGCTGGTCGGAGCAGGTGGAGAAACAGAAATCTACTCCCCTCTATTCAGTCAACATGCTGTCGTCGCTTTCGGATATTTGACCAACTGACCCAACTGTTAGTGTGCTCCACCATCACGAAGGAAGAGGACCTCGTTGCATGGTCGTAGTATCTCTCTCTCTCTCTATATATATATAACTGTACTTATGTACTATGCCTTAATATATATACATGTAATATATTGTATATAATATGGATCAAGATATATCCGAATATATCCATGATGAAGTTTTTTTACAAACTTATTTCTTGTCCTTGGTCAGACCTCAGCACAGTGTGTCGCACCTGACAATAGGTCTTGCTGAGGCTGAAACCTGATCAAATTAATGTATCCCATTATATTACAAAGAAACGTAAGAAAAACACTCAGAACAAACCTATTTTAAATGTGTTGGGTTGTCGACAGTTCGATCCCAACACATATGGGGGCCTGTCCGGGATTGTTTTAAGCAATACACACTGCGTACACTTGTAGCACCCATTGCTACGTGTCCAGCCAGGTAAAGTTTTCATCATGGATCGTGTCCAAGCATTTATAACATAAGAGGACCCATTGATTTTGGAGAGCTGTACGAAAGAACAGCTGAAGCAAATCGCCGAACACTATGAGATAGAATTAGTGTCTACTAAAGTGGTCTATATGAGACAAGAACTTGGAAATAAAGTAAGGTCTCGACGCGAAGATGTAGGAGCGGTAGGATTAGATGTGAGTGCAAAGGAAAGTGGGGAACCAGATAATGAGGAAGTATCTTCAAATACGGCACATAGGAGTGGAAATTTAGAATATGAATTGGAACGTTTGAAACTGGAAGCTCAAATTAAGAGGGAAGAGAGAGAGTTTCAATTAGAGAAACAAACTGGAGCAAGAGAAATTGAGACTTGAGAGTGAGCAAGAGAAATTGAGACTTGAGAGCAAGAACGAGAAAGTGCGACTCGAGAGTGAGCAAAAAACGCATGTAGAATTAGAAAAGGAGAAAACGAAGCAAATGGAAATCGAAGCAAGTAAATTTGTGGCTGCTCAGAGGCGAGGGCAAGAGGTACACTCGGAGAGCATACCTATGCCTGCAGCATACGATCATAAGGCACGTGAAAAGGAGGTTCCGCGATTTTGTCCAGAAGAGTCCAAGTCTTTTTTTGAGCATTTTGAAAAAGTTGCTAAACTAAAGCAGTGGCCAGAGGAGGATTGGGCCCAATTTCTGCAAATAAGATTGACTGGGGCGGCGAGAGAGGCCTATACCCAGCTCTCTCTAGAAGATTGTAAAAATTACTGGACTGTGAAAAACAGCATATTAAGGTCATTTCTACTGACATCTGAAGCTTACCGGAAGCGGTTCAGAGAAATGGTAAAAACACAGAGGAGCACATATGCTGAAACAGCCATAGATTTGGAACGTAGATTCCAAAGATGGATGGGTTCCGAAAAGGTAGAATCATTCGAAGACTTAAAACAATTGATGTTAATGAAAAAATTCTTGGAGATGGTGACTCCAGACACCAGGTTTAAGGTTCAAGAAGCAGGAATAAAAACACTCTTAGAAGCAGCGGACAAAGCAGATGTAATTACGGAAGCTTACAGAAGTCTCCAGGACCATAAAGAAAAAGGTCATGCAAAGTTGCAGGGTAGTAAAAGACAGTATACGTGGAACAGTGGAGATGGTCGTGGATATATTGGCAAGCCGATAGCCTGAAAAAGTCAGAGGTATGTGGAATTTTCTCCGTCAGGAGGTGACGCAGTCGAGGGTCAGGCTAGCACACCCTCAGGTCAGGGAGGAAGTACAACATCGTCTAGAAATCGAGGTACAGGACAATGGAGACGTGGCGAATCCTATTATAATGGACAACGTAGTTCGAGAGAACGAGGATTCCCTTCTCAGGTAATATGCTACACATGTAACAAGCCTGGACACTTAAGTAGAGAGTGTAGGCAAGGCAGGAGAGTGGTGTCCCTCACAGTAAGTAAATACAGAAGTCCTTATACAAGTTTAAAGGAGGAATTGCCCCAGGAAAAGATGTTCATTACGAAAGGATATAACCCTTTCATTAGCAAAGGTATGGTGAGTATTGGGGGTCACCCTGACCAACAAATCACAATATTACGTGACACAGGAGCAAATCAGAGCTTAATACTGAAAAGCCCATTTCCTGAGTACACATCTTGTATAAACGGACAAATAATTAAGGTACGGGGTATAAATTCAGAGATGGATATACCTGTGTGTACAGTAAAGCTAACCTCTGATTACTTTACAGATGAAGTGATGTTAGGAGTGTGCTCGGACATACCCATTCCAGGAGTACACGTCATCTTGGGCAACGATTTGTGCGGTTCAAGTGTGTTGCCAGAGGTACTGCACAGTGATATACCAAACGGACATCAAAACAATTTGGAAGATGAAAAGTGTGATAACATAACACTCGCCAGTATTCTGAATGATCCCTCTGAAGATGATCAAATGGAAGTGTATCCGGCCTGCATCGTAACCCGAGCGCAGAGTGCTCGGCTAAGAGATGTGTCAGAGAGGATGGACGTATCTTCTGCAGAGGAGGAAGAGGTGGATTTTGGCCTAAAAGACTTGTTCGAGGAACATGCAGCACCAAGTACAGCGAGAGTGGAAGTAAGACCACAATTACCATCCCACATACAGGTAAGCAAACCAGATTTTATAGCTGCCCAGAAATTAGAATTTGAGAAATATATCAAGGAAGCTAAGGGAGGAAATGCTTGTATCACGTCACCCACTTACTATTACCTGGACGACTGGGTTTTGATGCGAAAATGACGATCAGACCACGCGCCAGCTGACAGACTGGGTTGAAAAGGATCAAGTGATTGTACCTAAAGGTTATAGGAACTCTGTATTGGAAGTTGCCCATGCATTAGAAATGGCGGGACATCTTGGTGTCCATAAGACACTTAGGAAAATACAAGACCATTTTTATTGGCCAGGTATGGCTGCAGATGTAAAAAGGTATTGCAGAACTTGTTTATCCTGTCAGAGAGCGGGAAAACCTGCTTCAGCGCTTCCTAGAGCCCAACTAAAGCCAATTCCAGCATTTGGGGAACCTTTTGAAAGGATAATAGTGGATTGCGTAGGTCCCCTACCCAGAACAAGAAAAGGGAACGAATACTTATTTACCATCATTTGCTCAGCGACTCGTTTTCCAGAGGCATTTCCCGTGCGAAAGATAACCTCCAGAATATTGCTTGACAGGTTACAGCAATATTTTTCGTGGGTAGGAATGTCGATAGTTTTGCAATCCGATTTGGGCAGTGTTTTTCAATCAAAGCTGTTCCGTAAGACAATGAAGGATTGGGATGTGAAACAGATTAGGTCATCTCCTTATCATCCCCAATTTCAAAGGGCCATCAAACGTTTTTATGGCACTATGAAGAGCATTAAACATGTTCACACACCGGGGTGTCAGTGCTCTATCAGGGTGATGCTTTTCCAAGAATGCAGTCACCTTTTCATAACATTCCCAACACTTCCCTGATCTCACTGGAAGAGGCAGCATCCTCCCTTACCTCCTCATCAATTTACTAATGGTGCAAATTGTTGATGAGGACCTGTCATACTCCCTTGTGAAATCAGTCACACGGACATCACGCTCGTGCTTTGCTATAATTTCCTTCTTCAAATCCACAGTAATTGTCTCATTCTTCCTCTTGACAACACTATCTTTAGCAAGCAGCAGCTTTGGCGACATCGTGCATCACAAATTGTAGTCACAAAACCTACTACAAAACCTACAAAATGTAGGCATCGGAGGCGTCCGAGAATTTGAGAGAACCAGCGAGACGCTAGGAAGCACCATGTGGTTTTGCTCATTAATAGAAGTGAAGCTCGTCAATAGAGACAAATTTGTTGCAAGTGGTTCTCTCATTACTCGAAATGCTCGTAGATAACACACACACACATAGATTTTTTTTATTGCTTTACAAATTGAAAGATGCACTGAAGAATACTGAAGTTGAATATTGATAATATTTCCCTAATTTTTCTGTGTAAATTCATATTTAAATACTTACCCCATGACCTGAGCATTCAAGAGCAACGTTATTAGTTTCACAATGTCCAGGCTCAATGTATGGGTACAATGACGTGCATGTCTGATTGACGCAAATCAACTTCTCTCCACAGGCTGTACCATCATTAACCAGCATCCAGTCTCCTCCTCTTTTTCTATCATCTCCCATTTCATATCGTACCGTTCTAGTTTTTGGGAAAGAAGGAATAATGCATTAGTGAACTTATGAGTGATACGAAAGATGTAATAATCATTAATATTAACCTTTAACCACTGTGATGCGCCGCGTTTATTGTGAAATTCTGGCTGTGGGCCGAAAATCAAGTGTTCGCCAACAAAAAAAATTCTTTGTAAAATGTTAAATTTCCTTCCCTGAATGTGTACATGTAAAAAAAATTCACTTACTTTGGCTGTGGGGAAGAGGACAAAGTGGTGCGTGACGCCATCATGGGCTGTTTGCCCGTGAGTGGAGCTCCCAGAGGTAGTCGCGCGGGCCATTCAAGCCTTATGAGTTGCCCGATATATATTAACATTTATTTTTTCTATGTATTTTCAATGCTTTATAATTACAGTGGTACCTTGGTGTATGACTGCCCTAGAGTACAAGCTTTTTGGTATACGACATCAAATTCATCGTAAATTTGAATTGGTGTACGACATTTTACTTGGAATAAGATGTCTGTTGATATATGTATGGGTCGAGTGAGCGCTGGGTGCAGGGCGAGGCACACTCACTTGCTTACCAGTGTATCCCATGACTAGTGATGGGATTTACTGTATCTACGTCGTCACTGTATTTACAAGTGACGACTGCGCTTGAATTCTTTGTAAAAAATTTAAATGTTTTTCTGCGTTTTTGTTTTCTGAACAGTAAAGTTCTTATTATATATCCCACCATGGGTCCCAAGATAGATGGTGAGGGGAATGGATGGATGGTGAGGGGACTGGATGGATGAATGGTGAGGGGGAATTGGATGGATGGTGGGGGAACTGGATGGATGGATAGGGGTGGATGGATGGATGGACGGTGGAGGAGGGACTGGATGGGTGGATGGTGTAGGGGGCCTGGATGGGTGGTGGGGGGACTGGATGGATAGATGGTGAGGGGACTGGATGGATAGATGGTGAGGGGACTGGATGGATAGATGGTGAGGGGACTGGATGGATAGATGGTGAGGGGACTGGATGGATAGATGGTGAGGGGACTGGATGGATAGATGGTGAGGGGACTGGATGGATGGATGGAGACTGGATGGATGGTGGGAGGGAATGGATGGATGGATGGTGGGGGCTCTGGATGGATGGATGGATGGATGGATGTATGGTGGGGGAACTGGTGGGATAGTAACTGGATGGTTGGATGGGGAGGGGGTGGATGGATGGATGGTGGAGGGGGACTGGATGGTTGGTGGAGTAAACCTCCATCCCCCACACCCCACCCTCCCCGCTACCTCCATTCCCCACATTGAACCTCCCCCACTGCTCTACCCTCCCAGCCACATCTGGACAGTATTAATACGGAAGGCTTTGTTGCTACCAGCTGATAGATCAGGAGGCAGACTGCCCGACATTAAAATCTTGTTGTTTACTGACTGTGAAAGCCTGATTGACTTCAAATGACTGAATGACTGTAAATGACTGGGTTCGTATCCTGGCCGGGGAGGATTTACTGGGCGCAATTCCTTAACTGTAGCCTCTGTTTAACGCAACAGTAAAATGTGTACTTGGATGAAAAAACGATTCTTCGCGGCAGGGGATCGTATTCCAGGGACCTGCCCGAAACGCTACGCGTACTAGTGGCTGTACAAGAATGTAACAACTCTTGTATATATCTCAAAAAAAAAAAAAAAAAAAAAAAAAATGCCTGACCGGTTGCTTCCACAACTGTGAATGCTTGACTGCCTTTGGTTATGACTCTGTGAATACTTGGCTAACTCTAACTTGTTGTGACAGGAAATGCTTAATTGGTGGCTACCACAACTGTGAATGCTTTATCCTTTAACAGCTAAGGGCTTTTTGGCCTGCAACACTAAGGCACAAAAAAAAAATTATTTTGTCTTATGAAAGTGTTCATTTGTGTTCCCTGATCACGGGAAAATGAACAAAAAAAATGGTAACATATTGACAATGGTGACATATTTTGGCCACAATAGGGTGGGAGAAGTCTAGCAAAAAACCAGCGTTGAATGTAATGAAACGCCATTTTCTGGGTGAGATTCGGAGGCTTCCCAGAGCTATCCAGGCTGATACAGAGTATTAGCTTTGGGCATCAGTCAACGTACATGGATTTCTAGGCCTACCAGGGATCACGAGCCAGAACCTGGCCCCCTCAGAGAGGCGCAAGGAGCAATGGTCTATAGACACACCTTATATATAGTTTAGAAGTACTGCTGGGTCGAGCACCCAGAAAGATAGGCACTCCAAAACATCCCACATTCTGGTTAAGAATTGCTGCCAAAGCCAAACGAGTCAATATAACTCCCCATGAAGAAAAACGAGCACGTTGCCAACTCGTTACCAATGCGCCCCCGTCTGCGCAACCCACCGCTCCCCGGGAGCAAGAAGGGGGAGCCCCAGACCCTCTGCCGGCTATCCAAGTCTGCCAGTTCTTAGGCTGGATGTCAAAACGCGTAAATAGAAACTGCAGACCGGAAGGAGGGAGAGATGCCAGGGAGCCTCTAGTTCTCACCCAGAAAATGGAATTTCACTACATTCAACGCTGTTTTTATGAGGGGAGCCCTTTCCTCTCCCCGGAGCTTAATACCAAAAGCCAAGGACAAGCCAAGGCCAAGCTCCCACAGTGAAACGAACAAGAAATACGGAAATAGTAAGGTTACATTAAGATGCATGGTATATAATAGGCATACAAAATGTGTAGATGCCAAGGTATATGAAAAGGGTCAGACGGGCATTGAATGACTGCCAACGAATGAGTGGCCAGACTGCAGTGAATGACTGGCAAGGAACGAGTGTCCAGATTCCAGATAAGATACAGATGTTCGTCAATATTGCAGGAAATTACTCACCTAGATTTTCTGGAAGATCAAGGACTTGCCTGAAATGCCATGCACCAGTGGCCCTGCAAGAATGTAATCATCAATGCTAAGTACACTCTTTACCCCCAGTGTACCGCACAGCAATAGTCATATATATAAGACTAATCCTGGAGTATGGGGCCCCAGCATGAAGCCCAGACCTTGTCAAGCACAAGACAAATCTGGAAAAAGTTCAGAGATATGCCACGAGGCTTGTCCTGAAACTAAGAGGCATGAGACACGAGGAAAAGCTGCTGGAAAAGCACCTCACGACACTGGAAGACAGAAGAGCAGGGGAAGACATGATCATTACCCCACAAAATTCCCAGAGATATTGACATGGTAGATAAGGATAAACTGTGTAACATGGGTGGTACGCGAACAAGAGGACACAGGTGGAGACTGAGTACCCAAGTGAGTAACAAGGACTGTAGAAAAAACTTTGGCAGTGTTAGAGTAGTGAACAGGTGGAATACATTAGGCAATGATGTGGTGGAGGCTGACTCCATACACAATTTCAATCGTAGATATGATAGAGCCCAGTATGCTCAGGAATCTGTACATCAGTTATTGATGATTGAGAGGCAGGACCAAAGAACCAGAGCTCAGCCCCCGCAAGCACAACTAGGTGAGTGGCCAATCAAAAAACCACAAACAAAACCTAACACACACCCAAAAGACGAGAACCAGGGCCTGGCTGACAGCGTACCCAGACTGCATAAGCACTGCAGAGTGAAGGCAGTACATGGATAGACATAGCGTTGCCGGGTAATATGCCGGCAGCACGGCTAGGTAAATATGACTGTAGGTTCGATTGCAGGATAAGAGGAGTGGAGTAGAGGTGGCGGCGGCGCATTATGAGCCACGCCACACCCTAATGTAGGAAAAAGTACAAGGAATGTATGCTATAAAATACAGTCCAGAACTTCCCCAGTATCCAGGGAACTATAACTGGAGATATAAGAGTAGGTAGTGCAGCGATAAAGGTCGCTTAACACCAACACTCGCTGACACCATCCATAAACAAAAAAACCCCTGGGCCATTCTCAGGACACCGGAGGTCCGAGCCGGATGGTCCCTCCCCGCAATTAGGTTGGGGAGCCCACAATGTCTATTTATTGAGAAAACATATCTTAAGTGAATTAAATATAACATGGAAAGAATATTAGTACAGAAGAGTACCAATGATTCTTATAATATATGGGATTCTTATAATATATATATATATATAATATTCCACTAAAAGCGACAGACATTCTAATTTTTTTTTTTATGTGAAGGAAAGAAATTTGCCTTGAACATTCCAGACCTTGAGAATCATGCGCAAAGCCATGGAGGTTCATATGGGCCCATTGGCTAGATAGGATCGTAGGATAAAGCGGGTAAAAATGTGCCACAGGAAAGGCAGAACCGACGGACCCGACATGACATGGAACCGAACCCGGGGACAGGCAGACTCCAAAAAACTGGCTCGTACGTAGAGGGAGGAAGGGAAAGAAAACCCCACTTCCAATAGCCCCTTGTTATGTGGAAGCCCCAGCCCCAGTGAGGCTTCCACATAACAGGAAGCCCCACTTAGAGGGTAGGAAAACCCAGGAGGGGTCCAATGGGGCCCAAGCCCCCTCCCCTCAGTCCGCCCCTCCCCAACCCCGGGAACTTTCACACCAGGACCCGGGGCCGTATCGTCCTCCAAAGCCCCAGCCTCTAAAGAAATAACTGGGGCAGCCGTAAAAACACTAAGAAAGGGGGCCCACTGGTGAGATCCATACGCAACGGCTGGAGGAACTGACTCGAATGCCTCCATTGCCACCCCGGAAGGGGCATCCCGAGAGACTGCCCGAGTCTCAAAACCAGATAAACCCCACCCCGACCCCAAAGCCTTCAGATGCTTCAGAGCCGGAAGCAGGAGGGGGGACCAGAAAACACTACAGCAGTGAAAGAACAAGGGGGAGCGGACCAAACTAAGGCCGAAACGACCCACACCCCCAAATCCAGGACCCTATAAGCAAAACGGGGCAGCCACTGGGCTTCCGGGGTAGCAAACAACCAAGCACGTTGCAGTAATATAGCAAGCACGCAATGCCAGAGCCGCCAGTACCCGGAGTGTCATCAGCAGACTGGGTGAACAGTCACAAACAAGCAACAACTCGCAGGGCTCTGGGCAGAAGGTGTAACCGACCCAACAGGCAGCGGGATGGAGGCAAAACCGTGAGAGCCACCCTGAGACAAGGGGCCAGAGCAACCCTCAATCAAACTTGCAAAATACGAGTGGGAACTCAGGGGTCACATGCAACTTACCCACTCGCAAAGGGTCCTGGGAAACCCCATGGGGGCTTTTCAATCTCCACTAAGCGAAGCCCAGGCAGAGTACTACTAACTGGCTCCCAATACTACCAAACAAACTTCTAAGACTGCATCCCTGAGAAGTGTCCGCGCACAGGGGGCCTAGCAGGGAAACCACCAATATAGATACAGAGGGTGTGAACCAACCCATGGGCAAACACCCCCGCCAAGGCTAGGACCAAAAAGAAACAAAAACCCTACAAGAGAGCAGCGTATCCAAAGGATGCAGAGCAGACCACTATGAGAGGTGAAAACTATTTGCGTAAGTACGTAAGCTACCAGTGACGATTACTACCCCCTTACCCAGAGACAAACAAAGGAGCAAGAAAACCCCTCCAGCTGACTCCAAGGGCGGGCAAGTACCAAGCAGTAATTGCCACAATGAAGGTAGCTCCCAAGGCGACTTGCGGAAGGAGGCCACAAGCCCCAAAGGCAGTACTTACAGGGCGCTTAGGGAAGGGGACACTTAAGTGCATGGAGCCCTAAGTACTTGTGAATGTACTCCCAGCATGCATGCCACTGAAGCAAGAACAGAGAAGAAAAGCCAGAGCTGGAGGTACATGACCAAAGCCCACTGACATTAGCCAAGAACTAGCAGGCTTGGGTAGCCGGCGGAGGGTTTGGGGCTGCTCCTTCCCCCTCTCGGGGAGGGGTGGGTTGCGTAGACGGTGGCATGTTGGTAACAAGATGACGTCATGCTCATTTTGCTTGTTTTTCTTCATGGGGAGTTCTATCCACTTGTTCGGCTTTCCCCGGTCCCCAGTAGGCCTAAGAACTCCATTTGCTTTGATTGATGCCAGGGTCTAATACATTCATATCAGCCCAGATAGCTCCTGGGAGCCGAAGGGGCTTCCCCCAGAAAATCCATGTTCTTTTTAATATATTTCAAACAATTAATTTGCTTAACCTAAAACTTCAAGATGGCTGATCACTAATACAATTCATATCTATGGTCTTCATTTCTAATGGTAAATAATTTTCCTTATGCCTGTTGTAATAATTGAGAATCTTTTGTTAAAACTCAGACCAAAGACCTCAAACAACAAACACTTAATTTATCTGATGATGACCTCTCCATTCATCAGGCAATTGTACACAAAACAAAATATTGAATGATCGAAAGGGTTGAAACAGCCATATACAACTCAGTATTCCTGGCACCATGACTGACCACACCTCTTGTTCAGTGACATGATGCTGAAGCCATAAGTGATACAAAAGTTTTTTGTAACTTTTATGACTTCAGTGCCATATAAAAAAAAATAAAAATTCTGTGGAGAGCCCCTTCAGTTCCCTGGAGCTATACTGGGCTGATGTGTATAAGTTAGACCATGGCAACAGTCAATCGAAGGAGTTCTAAGCCTACCGGGGACCAGAGCCAGAACCTGACCCCCTCCCTCCCCCTGCCTCAAGAGAGGCACGAGGAGCAATAGCCTAAAGACACCTCCATGTAATTGGAAGCAGTCTTTGTCTGCCATCTACCAGGTCAGGCACCCAGAAAGGTAGGAATTCCAAAACAAACTACTGCTGATCAAATAAATTGCAAACTGAAAACTGAACTAGTAACAGAACTCCCCAATCAAAACCAAGGAAACAAGTATGACGTCACCACAAATGCCACGCGTCCGTCTGCGCAGCCCTTCCCCCCCTCCACGGGAGAGGGACGGGGGGATCCCAGACTCCACGTTGGCATCTCTCCTTAGTTCAAGAGGCTGTTGTGTTGGTGACGGTCGATCGCTCTGGCTCCACTCTTTGTGCAGTGCTGTAGTTCGGTGTTGTTGCTGTTTTGGTGGTGCGTGAGCCAGATGTAACGCAAGAGTACTGGGGCTGCATGCACCTAGGGCTACCTTCCCTAGGTGTCCTGCAAGTAATGCCTTTGCGGCCTCAGGGCTATCTTTCATGAGCCGTTCAGCAGCAGCTACCTCCGTGTGGTTCTGTCGTTGCTCGGTGATTGCCCGCTCTTGGGGGTTCAGCTGGGGTGGTTCTTACTCCCGTTTCCCTTGGGTTAGGAGGTAGTTTCGTCGCTGGCTGGGGAGCGAGGTACTGTGCAGCTGTCTGATATACGTATTGCAACCGGTTCTGTTCTCCTGGAGACGTTGTGCTTTTGCGTTTTATTTTTTTTGTTTTTGTTTTGTGTTGCCTGTCGGGGGTCTGCCAGGTGTGGTGGTAGGACCACAGGTAGACCCCCTTTCCCCTTGGGGGGGGAGTCCCAGACCTCCACGCCGGCAACTCTCCTCAGTTCAGAGGCCGAGTATCAAAAAATGCGAGAAACTGCCGACCGGAGAGAGGGAGGGATGTCCCCCTCCCGGGGAGTGGGGAGTTGCGCAGACGGATGTGCTGCTTTTGTGGTGACGTCATACTTGTTTCCTTGATTTTGATTGGGGAGTTCTGTTGCTAGTTCGGCTTTCGGTTTGCAATTTATTTCATCAGCAGTAATTTGTTTGGGAATTCCTACCTTTCTGGGTGCCTGACCTGGTAGATGGCAGACAAAGACTGCTTCCAATTACACAGGGGTTTCTTTATGCCATTACTCCTCGTGCCTCTTTTGAGGGGGCCAGGTTCTGGCTCTGGTCCCTGGTAAGCTTAGAACTCCTTCGATTGACTGTTGTCATGGTCTAATATATACACATCAGCCCGGTATAGCTCCGGGGAGCCTCCGGGTCTCACCCAGAAAATGGTGTTTCATTACATTCAACGCTTGTATTATTATAAAGCACAGGAGCAGCACAAGTAGAACATCCCCAATTTTTTTATGAAGATCAAATGGAGAATTCCAATTCATCGATAAAATTAGTTTTATTTATATAGTGAACATAATTTACTAAGCAGAAAAGCAAAATGCAGTGAAACATGCAGTCACTTTGATGTATAAGATCCAGTTAGCGTTGTTGGATAAGAATGTATTGGAGTAAATTGTAGACAATGCTAATCATCTGAAGTCCAGAGTAGAAATCAAAGCTCCATTCATAAGAAACAAGGCTAAGAAAGAAAGCTATGACTGCAACCAACCTTGAACCACTTAAAGATGAATGTGCACTATTTGGCCAATTTCTTGTGGTGACACCATCACGTGCTGAGATTGATCTGAAAGGGAGTATCAGTAAATCCCAGTCTTCTGCGAATGGTAACCTACAGTCTTCCTTTGCATAGAATATGCTCTTGAACATTCAAAATGCTCTACAGAAACTGCATTTATTTATTTTAACACAAATGTTGTAAAACTGCAAATGTCACTGTAGAAGTTTATGAGGATATAAACTGGTTATGATGTTCCAAATCATTTGTTGCTATTGTCATAGACAAAGAAGTCTATGACAAGGTCAATGCTATTTGACATAACATAGCACATACAGTACAGCACATATAAGAGCACAATAAAGCAGTTATGAGAGCTGGTTTAAGAGACAGTACATTAAATCTCTGATGAAGTAGCTGTGAATGTCATACAGTACAACCTCGATTCAACGAATCTCCGACTCGTTTGCACACTTAGGGACGGATTTACTCACCTGGTTCAACGAACAATGGTTCGCCGAAGCGGGGGATGTTCGGATTTGCTCACGATGTCAAGGCAGAGTGCATAGACTGGTGGAAACCTTTCCTATTCTATCACATATTACTATTAATATATCGCTCATCTGATAAGTTCGATCACACAAGTGGACCACAGAAGTTGACCGCACAAGTGGTCCACAAGTGGTCCACAAGCTTACGATGTTGGGACAGAGTTCAAAGAGTGGTGGAAAACCTTCCCATTCCATCACAGGTTACAATTAATAATTCCTTCATATGACAAGTTGGATCACACAAGTGGACCACACAACAAGTGAACCATATGAACCAAACACCAGTCAGAATGGTCCACACAAGAAGTGACGCATATTAACCAAGCCCCAGCCAGAGTGGTCCACACAAGTGAACGACTGACTTTCAATGATTTTCGTTCACTGATTTGTGGCACACGTATCTTTGCAAACTAATTTAAAAGCTGAAGCGTGAATAGCTAGCTAATGTGTTGAAATCTTCTTTTATACATTTTCTGTGATGAAACAAGATGAGTGAGGGGTGGACAGATAAGGGTACAGTAGTTCACTCACTTTCGCCTGTGTCGTCATAGTTCAGTGACCCATGACTTAACATTTCAGATTAATAAATCATTTCTAAAATTGTTGTTTTAATAACTCTTGTTGACCAGACCACACACTAGAAGGTGAAGGGACGACAACGTTACGGTCCATTCTGGACCATTCTCAAGTCGAAGTCGACAATCGACTTGAGTATGGTCCAGGACGGACCATACTGTCGTTGTCCCTTCACCTTCTAGTGTGTGGTCTGGTCAACATACTTTAGCCACATTATTGTGACTCATTGCCTGCTTAATAACTCTATTATCTTAATTAAACTAAACTAAATAAAACCAAAAAAATACTGTAAATATGATAGATATCTGCTATTTGAGAAATTATTCATATTATTGGTGGCACAACTCCAGCGCGAGTGGAAGGGGTCTAATCCGTGTGTGCACACAACACCATGCGTGTTTTGTTCGATTTTGTCGCCACAGTTCAGTGACCTACGGCTTTGAAATAATAAAATAATTAAATCAGTTCTAAAATAAGTATTTTTTATAGCTCTTATTATCATAATAATGCTGCTAAACTAAATATATATAACCCAAAATTATATAATTTGATGTAAATCGAATATTTGTGAGAAATTTAAGTTACTGGATCTGGCTTAAACACCAGTCTACTGTAGGGTGTACATATAGATCTAGTCTGCGTTCGTACAGTATACACCCTGTGCCCTTAGTTTTGTCTGCGATTAACGTACAGTATTTAACAGCTGGTGGAAGAATAATCGTAGAATTTACCATTTTTTTACTTCAGTTGTATTGTTATACAACAAAATGTCTCAGGGGCTTACTAATAGTGCCTTATTAATGCCAAAAATGAAGTAATATTTTGCAAGAACTTGTAGCATAAAATAAACCAGCACCAGCACAGCCAAACCAGCACGAGAACAGCCGTACCCAGCACGAGAACAGCCGTACCCAGCACGAGAACAGTCGTACCCAGCACGACCACAGCTGTACCCAGCACTGGTACAACAGCAGCCAGCACCAGCTCAGAAGCAGTTGAAGCCAAAGTAGCAGCGAGCACCAGCAAAGCTGATGCAAACATCTAAAAACATCATGTGTGGTGTGAACAGTTAGAACAAGTGTTAAATTTAAGTCTGTACATAGTATTCAAATTAAAGTTACAGTAATTTTAGTGTACAATAGTTTCATAAACTGTATTGTAGTACTCAATATACAGCAGAACTACTTAATCAACACAGTGTTAACGGTATAATACACTACAGTACGTATTTACTGTACACAACTCCATGAGACTTCAAGATGGACATAACTCCAACAATAAGGTAAATAACAAATGTAACCGTATTTTTTAGTAGGGTAATAATATATAGGTACAGTATATAATATGATAATGCATTTTTAATGTGTACAAGAAAAAAAAGAGAGACACTGATGCAAACGCCTCCTGAAGGTCACCTCTTGCAACGCATTCAACGCTCCAACGCACTGGGGTTGGTCCCATATAGTATGTTGAATCGAGGTTGTACTGTATTTCAAATGTCAAATTAGTATCAAATTAAAACATGCGATCTTAACACTTTCGTTCAGTGGCGACGCAGTTTGCGTCCATTAACCACTGTGATGCGCCGAGTTTATTGTGACATTTCCCCTGTACGCATGAAATCAAGTGTTCCCCAAAATTATTTTTTGTAAAATGATAAATTGTTCCCTGAACATAACCCCTGAAGGGTTAATAAAAAACATGACCTTGAGAAGAAGTATAGGTTAGGAATGGTCTCCAAAGAATTTTCAAAGAATTACTCGTCATTGCTATCTAAAATAAATATAAGAGCAAAAACTAAATACTACGAAGATAAATTTACCCAAACAAAGGGCAACATTAAGAAAACATGGAGCACAATTTCACAAATATTGGGATCAAAGAAGATTTTAAATAACAAACCAATACTCCTGTCCAATAACGATGGTCAGCTTATAGCCTCTGATACTGCTATTGAGTTCAATAGGTTCTTCTTTTCCATTGGGTCATCCCTTGCAAATGATATTCCATCTTCCAGTACTGATGTTCAGGACTATCTTACAGGTAACTATCCACAGTCTCTGTACCTAACGCCTGCAAATTCCACTGATGTTAATGAGATAATCCTTTCCCTTAAAACCAAGTCTAGTGCCCTTGAAGAAATACCAACTTTAATTTACAAAAAAGCCTCCAGATCTTTAGCCCCTGCTATTGCATTGCTCTTCAACAAGTCACTTGAACTCCAAACCTTTCCAGATATTCTAAAAAAAAGCGAGAGTAACCCCTGTCCACAAATGTGGAGATCTCACTGATGTTAACAACTACAGACCTATATCAATCCTGCCAAACTTGTCAAAAATATTTGAAAAACTAATCTACAAGCAGCTTTACTCTTATCTAGCCAAACACAATATACTTCGCTCTTGTCAATATGGCTTCAGACCCAAAAAAAGCACTAACGATGCACTTATTAGTATGATTAACTTGATACATGCAGCTCTTGATAAAAATGAGTTCCCTGTTGGGTTATTTGTGAACCTGCATAAGGCTTTTGACACTGTCAACCACCAAAACCTTCTTCTTAAATTACATCATTATGGAGTCAGAGGTCACTCCCTGCAGTACTTTAAGTCTTACCTTACTGACAGGCTCCAGTATGTTTCTGTGAATAATTCAATTTCTCCCACCCTACCTATCAATATTGGTGTTCCTCAGGGAAGCATACTTGGCCCTCTCCTCTTTCGTATCTACATAAATGACCTTCCAAATGCCTGCCAACACCTCAAACCAATTCTATTTGCTGACGACACAATCTTCATTTATTCCAGTCCTGACCCCCTTGCTCTAAATGTCACAGTGAATACTGAGCTAAATAAAGTCCATCTTTGGTTAACTGCCAACAAACTCACCCTCAACATTGACAAAACTTTCTATATTTTGTTTGGCAATAAATCCTCAAATCAAATAAATCTCAGGATAAATAATACCCAAATTTGTAACAAAATAGATGGCAAATTCCTTGGCATTCTCATTGACCACAAGCTGAATTTCCAGGGACACATTCTAAATATATATAAAAAAAGTTTCAAAAACTGTTGGTATTCTTTCTAAGATCAGATATTATCACTTTGATGCAACCGGACCGTAAATATATGGCCCACTCGGCCAACGGGTTCCGCGCCCGCTCCGTAAATAGCCGGCCGATCTAAAAAACAACATATAAAATACAATTCTTATTCGATCAACTTGGGGTTAGTATGAAAATGTTTGCCATTAAATTTCCGTTTTCTCTAATAGGCACATGGCCTATTTGAGAAAACGGCATTGTATTGTAACTTAGAGGAGAGACTATCGAGTTGTTGACACAATGAGGGTAATCGCCCACTTCACACTCTTGGTGTGGGCCGCGATCATGATTCTACATTTATATGCATATGTCTGTGTAGGGAATTTTAGTGCGAGTTCAGTGATATTAAATATAACGCTGTAGGACTAATGTGCAGCTGACAACAAACAAAAGAGTATGAACATTTTGTTGCTGTTTGGGCGTCACGGCGAGTGATCTACGTTTTATTTATTTCGTGGTGGGATAACCAATGCTTTGGTGACATGTTATACATATGATCTTTTAGAGACTTTTATTGCCAACACATTGATACCAAAATGAAATACATAGCTCGAGAATTGGTGTCAGGAGAGTGAAAAGATTGCACACTGTTTGGTGTTTACGCTCAAGAGCCCAAAACGCCGCATGCACAATGCACTATTTTTTTTCACGGGGACCGCGCGCATTAAAGTGTTAAGTACCTCGCCCTGCCCTGGTGACGCTCTATTACTCTCTCATCTATCCTTATCTCAACTATGGTATTTATGCTTGGGGTTCTACTACCCAAAATCCTGTACATCCTCTAATTACTCAACACAATGCTGCTATTAGGACAATATCCAACTCTGGTCCCAGACATCACTCAGTACCCCTACTCAAATTTCCGAATATGTTAGATATTAAGTCACTGCACATCCTCTCATGTGTATTTTATATATATATAAAATGTTGAACTGTAATGTCAATCCTGACCTTAAAAGCTTCCTAGAAGGTTGTAACAGATCCCATGAGCACCACACCAGAAACAAATACTTATTTGATATTTCAAGAGTATTTATTTAAACTAAAAATGCTTTACAAATCAAATGACCTAGAATGTGGAATGACCTTCCCAATTATGTTAAAGACTGTACCTCTCCTAACCAGTTTTAGATAAAAACTAAGTACTACTGTACCTAATTAACTCCATGTAACCTACCTCACCTCCAAAATGTCAACCCATGTCTACTATTTTAAACAATGCTGTTTGTTGACCAAATTGTATTCTTGCTTTTTTTCTGCCATGTTTCCTCCCCTTTTTTCATTTATTTATTTTTTCTCAACACAATTTATACTTTAATCTCAATTAATATTAAGTTTTAGTCTTAGTGTTTTTCCTGCCCAAAACGCTTTGCGTAATAGTGGCTTTAGGCATTGTATGTACTAGCTCTATCTATAAATCCATCAACTTTTTGTATCTCACCTTGTATGTATGCACTTTACCTGAACAAATATTTGTATTTGTATGATTGCCAATCCCCCAGAATTTGATGTAATAGCATTAGAGATCTGCAATCAGGTTGATAAACTAACGATCATAAATGCATATAGTCCACCTCCATGCAAGACATGAAATGTATGCTCGTGATGGGGTGCATCTATCGAGGGCTGGGGTTGTTGCTGTTGCGAACTCGTTGGAACCAGTGGTTAGAGGCATTTGGTTGGGTTTAAACTGTTAGTAAATAGTGGTATGGGAATTGATAGGGAGGAAGGAGGTAATAAAAGTATGTGTTTGTTGGAGAAACAAATTGGCAAAATGATCAGGGAAAGAGAAGGGCCTCAAAATAACTATTCACTTAGGGTATATTACACTAACAGTAGAAGTCCAAGAAACAAAATAAACGAATTAAATGCTCTTGTCTGTACAGAAAAAAATAGATATTATTGCACTTACCGAAACATGGATGAATGTAGAAAATAGAGAACTATTAGCTGAATATCAAATAAATGGATTTAAACTATTTCACACAGATAGATGTATTAGACGAGAAGGGGGAGTAGCAATATATGTTAGGGACAATTTGAAATGTAGTCTCAAAGAGGGAATCAAAACTGAGCCACACACAGAAACTATTTGGATAGAATTAAACAAAAAAGCAAATAATATTATAATAGGAGTTATATATAGGCCACCAAATTTAGACATAATGGAAGCAAAGCATCTATGGAATGAAATATCTAGAACATCTAGATCTAACAGTATATGTCATGGGGTGACTTTAATTTTAGTGGAATAAACTGGGTGAACAAAACAGGGAATAATGAAGCAGAAGATTTTCTAGAATTAATTGATGATTGCTTTCTTACGCAACATATTAAGGAACCAACGCGGGGAAATAATATTTTAGATTTAGTGTTAACTAACAGGGAAACACAAATTAAGGACATGGAAATAGGGAGTGTGCTAGGGAACAGTGACCATAAAGAAATCAGATTTAGCATAGAATGGATTAGATCTGTAGGAGAAAATTCTGTTAACGTGCCTGATTTTCAAAAAGCTGATTTCAATAGCCTAAGAAATTTTTGGGGTCAAATAGATTTAAATGTCTTGGGGATGGGGTGTGGGCTAGATGCGATCCCAGCGACAGGTGACTGAAAACGGGATTTCAATGTGGATTCAAAATATAACCTATTTAAAAATATTCTAAGCAAAGCCCAGGAACGTAGTATACCATACAAATTGAATAGATCGAATACTAATGATCCAAAGTGGATAACGAAGGATCAGAAGAACCTTATAGGTAAAAAGAGCGTGGTACAAAAGGATTAAGAATGGGGAAGTTAGTTTAGAACAGGAATTCATACAACTAGCTAGAAATGTTAAAAGAGAGATAAGGAAAGAAAAGAGAAATAAGGAAAAAAAAAGAGATAAGGAAAGAAAAACGAGATAAGGAAAGCAACAAGAAACTACGAAGTTCGCATAGCAGGGCAAGCGAAGACAAATCCTAAAGGGTTTTTTCAGTTATATCGAACTAATACTAGGGAAAGGATAGGTCCATTAAAAACTGAGATAGGTCAAATAACGGATAATGATGAGGAGATGAGTAGTATTTTTAATAAATATTTTATATCTGTATTTACTAAAGGAGAACTTAACAATAAGCCTTCAGCCGAACAAATATATGTGGGTGGGGACGAGGACAGGTTGACTAGTTTAGCAGTTACCAGGGAGGATGTAATTAAACAAATAGTAAAACTAAAACCAAACAAATCCCTAGGGCCGGATGAAGTGTTTGCCAGGGTGCTTAAAGAATGCAAAGAGGAGCTTTCCGAGCCACTGTCTACCATATTTAACAAATCAATAGATTTATTAGGTTGCAGCTCTTTGCCGTTAGCTGCGTGCCGTGGCTGGGGATGCCCTTTGGGTTGATCTGGTTCCATTTGTTCTCTGTTACAGGGCCCATTGTCTCCCAGGTCATCCGCAGATTTCTTAAGTCGACCAGCCTGCGGTCAATCCTTGCGCCCGTGCCGTTCGGGCGCAAGGATAAGATGTCACCAAACACGGCAGCTTTTGCTGCCGTGTTAGGTGACATCTTGGGCTCATTTCAGGTGCGAGGATTTGGGGGTCACACAGGTTCCTGGCTGACAATTCTTTTGTGAGCGTGTCTGCTCCTGTGCATTCTTGTGTTGCTTTGGGTTGCAGGTTAGAGCCTGTTGCCTCGACTTCGTGTTGCAAAGTTTGTGACGGCCGCCTCCCGGTCTTTCTTTTCCTTCTCTTTGGATATGTAGTTCCAGGGAGCCATAGGGGTTCCCCACAGAAAACCAGCATTGAAGGTAATGAAATGCCATTTTCTGGGTGAGCCCTGGAAGCTCCCTGGCAACCCTCCCTCCCACCGGTCGGTGATTTTTTCGCGTTGGTTGAAGCTTAAATTCTGAACTGATGCTTAGCAGCCAGCACAGTGAGGTCCGGGGTTCCCCCTCCCCCTCTCGGGGCGGGGAGGGCTGTGCGGACAATCGGCATGGCAGTAAAGTGTGATGTTTGATTGATTGTTTGCTTGTTTCCTTGGGATTGCAGGGAGTTTCTACCTCTCTGTTCGTTTTTTTGTTTTAGTTTCTTACAATGTGGGGTTTGTTTTGTTATGCCTACCTTTCTGGATGCCTAACCCCGGTCGATGGCAGATAAGGAAAACCCCCAATCACAAGGGGGGGTTTTCCAGGGCCATTGCTCCCTGAAACCTCTTTGAAGGGGCCAGGTTTTGGCGCTGGTCCCTGGTAGGTCTGAAATCCATAGCTAATGTCTCGGTCTAATATTACATACATTAGCCTGATAAGCTCCAAGGAGACTCTGGGACTCGCCCAGAAAATGGCGTTTCATTATATTCAATGCTGTTTTTTTTGTCAGACTTCCCCCCCGCCCTATTGCAGCCAAAATATGCCACCTATGTCCCCCCCCCCCCCCATGATCAGGGAACACAAATGAATACTTTTATAAGACGAACAAATTTTGGGGGAATTTTTTTGTTGTTGCACCTGGCAGTTGCAGGCCAAAAAGCCCTTAGCAGTTTAAGAGTTGATATATGCGACCTTCACCAGTATAATCACTCTCATGACCATTATTATGAACTCTCTCAACCAATGAATCTTATTGTATATAAATATAAATAAATTAAAATCAGGCTAGTTGTTTTATATTTCTATGGTGTGTATTCTTTCCTTGTGTTTTTTAAATAAATGTAATGCATGCACCTTGCTAGTTTGGTCAAGTCCTTCGAGACAAACAGCTGTGTGGGGTGGAGTTCACAGGAGCTCAGTCAAGAGTTTGGTAGATGGGTATTTTATACTAAGTGTTAACATAAAGTAATGCATTTAAAGATATTATATAGAATTTTGTATACCATTGCCCCATCCTTACAACAAGGACCATGAATTATAATCAGGTAGTGAACTGCCAGGACCCCCCTGTAAGATTTTCAAAACTCGAGCCCAGATATCAGCCAAAGTATTTCCCCTAAGGGAACAACTAAGTGGTACAGCACAGAAAATATCAAATTCAACCAGATTTCCCATATATGAATACCGAATACAAAAAATATTCTGTTTCTAACAACATCGTAGTAAAACAATCACAGGTTTCAAAAGTACAACAGAAACTAACTTGCACTCATACACACGTCCACCCATGGAAACGATCGTTTTGGAGTAACTCTGGTCCATGTTAGGGGTAACTGGTTGCTGCGATCCATTCTGACACTGCAATGTCCCACACATTATATTCCTGAAATACAAAATGAGTTAAATCATAAAGTGTGAAATTCTGTTATATAAATTTACTAACAAGGAAAAACAATAATGACATATAGCATACAATGAGATTAAAAATATTGCTAGGTTAAAATTTCAAACATAAAACTGAGAACTTTATGTATGTTTATGCACCTTGGTAAAGCCTTCCCAGATGCAATAGGGGGAAATTTTTTTTTATACCTAACCCTTAAACCGCACAATACATACATATAGAATTGAGGGTCTAGCGCACGATTTTAAATGGCCCACGAGAGATAAGGGCAACTATAGTCCAGCCATGGTCGATAGTAAACAGACGCCACCTTGAAAAAAATTGTGGGCAACATATCCAGGTGGGAGAGCCTAAGTTCTAAGTGAGCCACCAAGGCTGGCGCACGCAGTATATGCTCACAACACTGTTTTTCAGCTTGTGACCACAGCATAGCCTAAAAATGTCAAAATATAAATGTACATGCTATTATTTAGTGATAATAGTATTACAGAAGACCCCAGTGATAAAAAATTACAAGGATTCTGATAATAGCAGGATTGTGGTTATAATTAGTGCTGTGGTGGGAGGAGTAATCTTGGTGGGGAGGGAGGCAGCATTGTCTGCTGACTGTGTGGCCACCTTTTACTGTCTGGACTCACTATACCAGCTTAATGGTTCGCTAAGGTGAACACAAATGTAGATATTTATATATAACATGTGTATATAGTGCAATAACAGCAAAAGGAGTATGTTGGGAGGAGCCATTTTGGCGAGGGAGGTGGTGTTGTCTGCATGACTTGTTATGCAATGTATGGTGGCCACTATTATGTTTGGGCACCTTATCAGCTTAGCTGTACAGTTTGTACTCAGCTTGTCTTTGTCGTCAGGCCATGTGAAACGCTGCCGCTTGCCTCGGCATGTTACTGGGGCAGTAAAACCCTGCCTAGTAACACCATTGCTGCTCGTACTCGGCTTGTCAACACTGTTTCGGACTGTCACTGAATCCTGAGAATGATTCATCACATGTATTATTGCTAAATAAACTGGCATCAGAGGAAACACATGGTGGTTGTGACTCTAGCAGTATTGAGACAGGGCTGTGAGGCAGACCGGGTGAGGTGCACGTACTGTACACACTCGCGACCTCCTCCACCTCATTCTCCCCCCTCATTCGTGTCAGACCACTGTGTTAGGTCTTTCTCTGGATCGTTGTCTAAACCATCATTCATCGCACCATCATCATACAAAATGTTGTGTATTTTCTCCTCAGTCATTTTCCATGACCACTGCTGACTGTGGACCGTGAGCTCGTAGACGATGCGTCAGACATGATTGTTTCCTTGAAACTGAGGCTCCCCATGGTCCTGGGGCATGATGGGATTTTTTTCAAAATAGCAGACGATCACTGGAGCCCTCAGGCATCCATTTCGTACCCGCATCACCGCGCTCCAGTTTTGAATGATATGCTATACTTATACGATCCCTGTGGCGTGTTGCACACCACCCGTCGAGAGCCTCAAGGCGTGTTGTGCATTACATTGGTTAATAGGCTATTATTAACCCCTCAACTGCGCAACGCACCTGCAGGCCCTCGACAAGGGTGCACAACGCACCTCTGGGTATTTATATTTTTAGCATTCCATTCAAAACTCCCATGGCTACATGAGGTTCACATCAGCTTCCTCAGGGCTCTTGTAAACAGGCGCCATCTTTAAAAAAATCGTGAGCCGCATTCATGGGTGAGAGCGCCTCAGTACTGAGTGAGCAACCAAGGCTAGCACACACAGCATGAGCTCACAGCACTGCTGCTCAGCTTGTGACCACAGCTTCGCCTAATAATGTCACAATATATATATATAACTTATATTATTTAGCCATGATAGTATTACAGAGGAGCCTGAGTGTGATAATGACTATGTACAATGTTCATATATCAGTGATTCAATGCTGTTCTCGATGTTTACAGTGCTAGCCACAGCACCACCACAGCATTATTTCGTCCATCTAGGAATCGTCAAATGACTTCCTAGGCTCCTTTACAAAATAAACTTGTGGTAAATTAGTCATTTATATGATTTAGTGACCAGTATTGTGATAATAGCAGGATTGTGGTGATAATTAGCACTGTGCGTAGTATTGTGGAAGGGGGAATTGTTGTGAGGGAGGGAGGGAGAGAATCGAAGTAGCCTCACTGTGTGTGTGTGGCAGCCACTCCTGTTTTGCTCATCATACTAATTGAGTGGTTCGCTATGGTGAACACATATGTACATGGGTATATACAATGTGTGTATATAGTGTAATAACAGCAACAGGAGTATGCTGGGAGGAGCCATTTTGGTGAGGGAGGTGGCGTTGTACTCGTACAACGAGTACGAGTACAACTGCTATGAGTACAACGCCACCTCCCTCACCAAAATGGCTCCTCCCAGCATACTCCTGTTGCTGTTATTACACTATATACACACATTGTATATACCCATGTACATATGTGTTCACCATAGCGAACCACTCAGCTAGTACACAAGGCAAACACCGCCTAGGAAACTGAGGCCAGAGAAACATCTATCCCGGTTGACATTAGCTTCCGAACTGAAGCTTGGCAGCCAGCACAGTAGGTCCGGGGCTCCCCCCTTCTCCCTCTCGGGGCAGGGAGGGCTGCGCGGACGATCGGCGCGGCAGTAAAGTGTGATGTTTGCTTGTTTGCTTGTTTCCTTGTGATTGTAGGGAGTTTCTACCTCTCTGTTCATTTTTTTTGTTTTAGTTTTTTACCATGTGGGGTTTGTTTTGTTATGCCTACCTTTCTGGGTGCCTAACCCTGGTCGATGGCAGATAAGGAAAACCCCAAACACACACGGGTTTTTCCAGGGCCATTGGTCCCTGAAACCTCTCTGAAGGGGCCAGGTTTTGGCACTGGTCCCTGAAACCTCTCTGAAGGGGCCAGGTTTTGGCACTGGTCCCTGGTAGGTCTGAACTCATTAGCTAATGTCCCGGTCTAATATAACATACATTAGCCCGATAAGCTCCAGGGAGCCGTAGGGGCTCCCCAAAGAAAAGGGCTATTTTCAGTGTAGATAATGCGATAATTATCATTAAATTGACTTGTGGCATCTGACGACGAGAGGAGAGTAAGGTAGTGGCTGGTCTCTGGTGGTCAGAAGCAGCAGGAAGGAGAGGGGGGGCTGGAGGCGCCAGTCACGTGTTGCCTCTACTGACACCACAATTACTCCAGCTTTCCTCGACAACTTCTACCTCTGACAACCAGCCTCTACTGACACCACTTGCCTCCTGACAACAACTCTCTCACGAATGCCCCCATGACACCATTTTATCACCATTTCAGCTGGTTGTCAGCTGCCTGGCTGACAACCTGCCTCCCATGAGAATACGTAACTTACACCACCTGCCCCCTAACAAAAAATCCTAACCACTGACACCACTTGCCTCCTCACAACAACTTTCTCACCACTGTCCCCTCCTGACACCATTTTATCAGCATTTTTATCACCATTTCTCCCTAGAAACAATGGGTAAGGATAATAAAACACTATATAACTGTTTACACTCTGGCAAATCATAGTTGATGACAGCCAGCTCCGACGCTCGGCCTCGGTGACCGCTTGGACAAACATTCCTCCCTTAATCGAAAATTTGTATGTTCCACTGAACATTTGGTACCGAATTCAATTTGTTCGGCTCTTCCAGGAATTCGATAGAGCGGGGTTCGTTAGACTGAGGAAGCACTGTACAGTACAATTTCGATTCAACGCACTATATGGGACCAACCCCAGTGTTGGAGCGTTGGATTTGTTGCAAGAGGTGACCTTCAGGAGGCGTTTACATTAGTGTCTTTTTTTCTTTTACACAATAAAAATGCATTGTCATATTATATACTGTACCTATATATTACTACTCTACTAAAAAATACTATGTTACATTTGTTAATTACCTTATTATTGGCATTATGTCCATCTTGAAGTCTCATGGAGTTGTGAATGCGGTACAGTAAATACGTACTGATGTGTATTATGCCGTTAGCACTGTGTTGATTAAGCAGTTCTGCTGTATCTTGAGTACTACAATACAGGTTATGAAAACTATTGTACACTAAAATTACTACAACTTTAATTTTAACACTATGTACACACTTAAATTTAACACTTGTTTTAACTGTTCACCCCACACACAATGTTTTTAGATGTTTGCATCAGCTTTGCTGGTGTTTGCTGCTGCTGTGTTGGCTTCAGCTGCTGTTGAGTTGGAGCAGGCTGCTGTTATACTGGTGCTGGGTATGGCAGTGCTGGTGCTGCCACCCTCAAGGCCAGACGCACTAATATTTCTCCTCCAACAATATTGTTTGTGGTGTTATTACGCTATATACACATTATACATAAGTATCTACATGTTTTATTCACCATACCTGTAAAAATAAGCTGGTATGGTGCCCAAAGACCATAGTGCCCACCAGTAAACATGACAAGTCGTGCAGATGACGCACCTCCCTCACCAAAATGGCAGCTCCTAACCTACTCCTATTGCTGTTATTACACTCTATACACACGTTATATATAAGTATTAACATTTGTGTTCACCATAGCGAACCACTAAGCTGGTATGGTGAGTGCAGTCAATAAAAGGTGGCTACACACAGTCAGAAGACGACGCCACCATCCTCCCTCCCACAGCATTACTCCTCCTTCCATGGAGCACAGCGCTAAATATCACCACAATCCTGCTATTATCAGAATCCTGGTCAGTTTTATCACAGTCTGGGGGCTTCTGTAATACTATCATCGCTAAATAATAGCATGAACATATATATTTTGACATTTTTAGGCGATGCTGTGGTCACAAGCTGAACAGCAGTGCTGTGCACTCATGCTGCGTGCGTCACCCTTGGTGGTTCGCTAAATACTGACGCTCTCACACCCAGAAATGTTAGCTACGATATTTTTTTCTAGCTGGCGTCTGTCAACTATCGGTCGTGGCTACACTATAGCTGC